AAGAGCTACTGGGATCACCTGAGATCCCCCTCAGCTGGTATCAATCAGCTGATGGTGGAAGGTTATACAAGGAGGCTGAGCTCTCTTGCTCAGTTGGTTGGTTCTCCTCAGGAGGTCAATACTTTCAGTTGGCTTTCTTTGTTTCTGCTGAGAGACTATTTCAATCAACTCACAGCAGAGTTTGTTTTATCAACATCTTTACACAAATCTTTAACTCTCACCTCCTCTCTTTGTAGGTCTGGTCTCTTCTTTGTGAATCATTTTGACATAAATCATTTTTCCACATTTGTTTAAAAGGTGCACTGTACAGTAAAGTCCCACTGGCAAAAAAAAACACAGGGCAATGCAGACAGACAGTACATTGGTCAGGGCTCTGCTCTGGTGGGTTGGCCTCACAATGTGGGTCTCCAGCAGTGTGCATAAATGCACAATTCCCAGCCTACTGACTCTGTACCTCTCCCACAGGTATTCTTCAGGAAAGGCCAGGGGATTTGTGTGGTCCTGGAAATTTCTGGGGCCCAGCAGATTGAAAGTCCTTTGTATGATGGCAGCACCAACATCCACAGGTTCCACATCAATGAATGGGCATGCCATGGTTGTGGAAAAGATGGTGGTGCAAGAACACCCTGCTTATATAGACCTGTGTCAAATCATCACTTATTGAGTTTCTACTGTGTTTGATGACCTTTTTTCTCACCCTGAAACTCCTCACACTACTGTGGCCGAGAGCCCAGAGGAGATCAATAAGATTCTGATGAAATTAAAGCTGTTCAATTTTTTTTGTTTCATGGATGGAAAAGCATAGTTTATTTGTTTTACATTTTTTTGTGTATTTTACACATAGGCCTAATTCATGTTCTTGATTTGACAAAATATATCCATAAAAGATGAATGTAGCAGCTACATAGGTAACAACTAAAACCAAAGTAGGCGAACTTAAAAAAATGGGCTACTTCTTGGCAATGTTGCATCAAACACTGGAAAAATAAACAGTAGAAAAAACATGTATAGAGGAGATGTCTTTTTTTAATTTTATTAGGGATGATAGTGGTCCAGTGCCCTATATTTAAGTAAGGGAGAAGACACAAATGAGCTTGTGTAAAAGTAAAGTTGTTATCTCATCATTTGGCATTGCCTTTAGATTATCATCATAATCAGAATAGACCGCTGGTAAAAGGAAGGTATTTTTATAGAAAATTGCAGCTGTTGTTGCCTTCTATTTTTTGATAAGACAATATGTGCCTTTATTCTGTTATGTGTTGACTGTACTTTGAGGGTGACAGAATAAAAGAAAGAAAATCAGATATTTCCAAATAGTAACCGTTGATGGGATCGAACCCATGGCGCAATGAATGGTACAGTTCACCGCCACATTTTCACCCTGCACTCTGCCCACTCACCCATTGACTTCTCTGTAATCCACGGGGCTAGTGTAGTATCTGACATGCCTAGGTTCACGGTTATTCCTGTGTTTTTAAAAAAAGGTCTCAATTTATGTTTCCAGACAAGAACATCATTCATTACAGATAATATGAGGAAATGTGAGACATGAGTTTCACAAAGCATCTTTTGGAAGCCCGTCAGACATTCTCGTACACGAAGCTAGACTAAGCTTGACTGTAACCAGGCCCGGGACCAGGCTTGTTGTGCTGGTTACCATGGTTACCAAGCTTCACTAGCCCTAAGCCTCGTTTGTCGAACCTAACTCTCGCTAATGTTAGCAAGACTAACCAAATAGGCCAGGCTTTGAGCTAAGCCAGCTTTGTGGAATACCCCCCTGACCTGTTTGTCTGGTTTTATAATAATAACACCAAGATTCATGGCATGGGACCCCAAGTAAGGCACCAGGGAGTCAAGGAAGCAGGCAAGGTCCTGAACCATATCAGGGTGAGCAAACAGGACCCTCTGTTTTTTCATTTAATTTAAAAAGTTAAGAGTGATACTTTATTGACAGACTCCAGGTCCATAAACAAAACAATAAATACAAGTACAAACAGAAACAAACACAAGACTTAATAAATACACAACACTTAAGATCCATCCACGTTTTAAAATCGCTCATGTGTAGGTGCGCCATCATCTGAGTAAAACTATTACATGATCTCTGCATCTTCTACCAAAAGCACCAGTGCATTTGTCTAGATGTCTTACACTCTTGATTTAAAGATAATTTTAACCTAATGTGTCTGAAAAAGACTCAACTTGGTGTCATGTCCGTGATTTTATTATCTCAAACCTAATTTCCAAAGACTTGAACCGTGATTTGCAGCTCTCAACTGAGAGGTTTGCTGCAGTGAAGTTTGAACCTCATGCTGCACTAAAGTTTGAACCTCATGCTGGACGAAAGTTTAAACCTCATGCTGCAGTGAAGTTTGATCGTCATGCTGCAGTGATGTTTGATCCTCAGGCCAGTGGCACTCCTGTCATTAGGCGGAGTAGGCGGCTCCGAGCAGAAAGGGCGCCAGGGAGGTGAGAAGATTTTCCTTTTTTTTTTATAAATACTTTTTATTTTGCAGAATAAAACAACAACAAAAACATAGCAATATAACAACAGTACATACAGTCATAAAGTCTTTAAACAATGGATAAATCATTTATATATTTGGGCTTAAGTGTCTGTCTGTCTGCCTGTAACCTGGCTGCAATTTTGCCACGATCCCCAATGGATTGCACACAGGACACGACTCCTTCCCGCCCCCCTGCTCTCTCCTCGTAGTTGTACTGCGCTTGCTTCTGAGGTAAGTTGGGTTGGTAACTCTCTCTCTGTTTAACTCAACTAGTTACAGCCAGGTAACTTGTAACACAACACACCCGCAGCGCTGCCGTGGCTTATGCATTGCCACCACCAGTTCACCACACAGAGAGACCACACCAAGCACAGCCAACAAGGCAATAATAAGCCAAGGTAGGCCAGGCAGAGCAGCGTCAATTATCATCATGGCTTAATGCCTCAGCTGTTAGGCAACAACATGCTTTCTTGCCGAGGCATAATGCCTCAGTGCTTGACTTCTCCAAAGTGAAAGGTCGAGACGAGTCTTGACTTTCAATTCATTCAAAGTCGTCAGATCATGGCAGTCCAGCATGTTGCAGAGTGCAGATCAAAAACACAACGTACTAGCTAAGCAAATCGTTTGTGTCAAGCCATTTGCTGATGTTTTAGTTGAAGTTACAGATTTACAGATTTAAGGGGGATTTATTAAGACCCCGTTTCCACGGCCAGTGTTGTGCCATAGAATGCACCCCTGCTGTAGAATGCCCCCAGCGGTAAGTTTTCCTTACCGCTGGACTGGTTCTAAAGCGTGTGCCTGTAATGATTTCATTCAGACTATTCAGATATGCCGAAAACAATAGCCCTCTGATTCGGAATATTTGCTGCCCCTAAAATATAATGTTCTCCACCTTAACAGCTTACTGTACAGTTTATATACCCAAGTACACCTCTGTATGTGCATTTTTTTGAATACCTAAAAACAGAACGAAAGTTTGCTGCTCCATTTGACATGTTGTCATGATCCAATACTCTTGTTTTTTTTAAATATGAGATCATTTTTTTTCCACTTTAAGTAGCTAATGAGTGGATGGGATGCATTCTATGGCGGGGGTGCATTCTACGGCATAACACCGGCCGTATTGGCTTTTCTGCCGCTTTGTTTCCTTTATTTTTTGAGCTGTACAGACTAATGATTTACACTAAATTATCTGTGCAGTGATGACTAACTTACTCATCATGAAGATATTTTACAGATATTTGCCACTTGTTTCCTTGACTGAGATTTAATGACAATGCTGCTGTGTTTTGAGCCATTTTGTTTTCCTTTGAGGATGTTGTGGGCTAGATTGAGGTTGTCCAGGGTATTTTGTATATGGCCCTGTTTATTGTAGTACAATTACTACATATGCATATTGCACTGAATATCTGCACTCTTATTAGTTTACATACTTTACTATTTGTAATTTGTTGTTTTTGTATTTTTCTATAACATTGTATTTTGTACTATTACCTTATTAATATTGCAATTTATGTTTTTGACACTTGTTTTCCTTGACTGATGTTAAATTACAATGCTGCTGTAAATGTCTTTAGAGCCATTTTGTTTTCCTTTGAGGATTTTGTGGGGTACTGTTGATTGCGGTTGTCCAGGGTATTTTGTATATGGCTGCTGTTTAGTTTATTGTAGTACAATTACTACATTATGCATATTGCACTGCAACTGCGATTTTAAAATTCCAAAGACGTGAAGAAACCCTGGGCCCTGTGTGAGTTTATGATGAATATTTTGTGGATGGCCTAATAAGTTGCGCGGGGTCGGGTTGTGGTTGGTCTAATAAGTTGCGCGTGGGGGGGCTACCAGAAATCGGGCTTGGGGTGCCAAGTTGCTTAGGAACACCATTGCCTCAGGCTGCAGTGAAGTTTGATCCACACACTGCAGTGAAGTTTGAGCCTCATACTGCAGTGAAGTTTGAGCCTCATTCTGCAGTGAAGGTTGATCGTTATGCATCAGCATAGTAAGGGCCTCATTCTGCAATCAAGTTTGAGCTTCATGCTGCAGTAAAGTTTGAGCCTCATGCTGCAGTGAAGTTTGAGCCTCACGCTGCAGTGAAGTTTGAGCCTCATGCTGCAGTGAAGGTTGATCGTTATGCATCAGCGTAGTAAGGGCCTTAATGCTGCAATCAAGTTTGAGCTTCATGCTGCAGTCAAGTTAGAGCCATGTGCTGCAGCCAAGTTAAAGCCTCAGTCAAGTTTTAGCCTCATACTGCAGTTAATTTTGAGCCTTATTCAAATTGGAGCCTTATGCTGCAGTGAAGTTGAGCCACAATGAAGTGTGAGCCTCGCGCTGCAGTAAAGTTTGAGACTCATACTGCAGTGAAGTTTGTGCCTCAGTCAGGATGCAGCCTCATACTTCAGTGAAGATTGATCCTTATGATTGATCCTGCAGTGAAGTCTAAGCTCACAATACATCAAAGTTTGAGCCTCTTGCTGCAGTGAAGTTTGAGCCTCAATGAAGTTTGAGCCTCATGCTGAAGGAAAGTTTGAGCCTTATACTGCAGTGAAGTTTGAGCCTCATACTGCAGTGAAGTTTGAGCCTCATGCTGCTGTGAAGTTTGAGCCTCATGCTGCTGTGAAGTTTGAGCCTTATACTGCAGTGAAGTTTGAGCTTAATACTGCAGTGGAGTTTGAGCCTAATACTGCAGTGAAGTTTGAGCCTCATACTGCAGTGAAGTTTGAGCCTCGATGAAGTTTGAGCCTCATGCTGCTGTGAAGTTTGAGCCTAATACTGCAGTGAAGTTTGAGCCTCGATGAAGTTTGAGCCTCATGCTGCTGTGAAGTTTGAGCCTCATACTACAGTGAAGTTTGAGCCTCATGCTGCAGTGAAGTTTGAGCCTTATACTGCAGTGAAGTTTGAGTCTTATACTGCAGTGAAGTTTGAGCCTCGATGAAGTTTGAGCCTCATACTGCAGTGAAGTTTGAGCCTCATGCTGCAGTGAAGTTTGAGCCTAATACTGCAGTGAAGTTTGAGCCTCGATGAAGTTTGAGCCTCAAGCTGCAGTGAAGTTTGAGCCTCATACTTCATCGAAGTTTGATCCTCATGCTGCAGTGAAGTCTGAGCCTCACTCAGGTTTGAGCCTCAGGCTGCAGTGAAGTTTCAGCCTCATGCTGCAGTGATTCAGTTCAAACAGATTTTAAAGTTGAGCAGATGCCCATCAGTCCAATGAAATGAGAACAAATCTGCCTTACATACATGAAACTGCTCTCTTTAATTACATCACAGACACCTGGGACATGTGTGTGTCTATGTGTGTGTGTGTGTTTGTGAGTGTGTGTGTGTGTGTGTGTGTGTGTGTGTGTCACCTGTGCACACAGATTGGAGGTTTTGTTGAGGTTGCAGCAGCAGGCAGAGCGTGAGGCCTGAGAGAAATGAAAATGACAGAAGGTCACATGGCTGCAGAGCAAGCACACGTGGTGCTACATAAATGTAAAAACCGAATCACAGTCTGCAGGCAGAGACGCTTTGATGTTACATGACTGATCTCTGAACATGCTCACCTGCTGCTACTATCAGGGACCGTAAATCTATAAAAACATGAGTGTTTAAAACAATGACATCACTGATCAGCACATGACTGCCATGACATTGAGATGGGCTGTGCCATGTATGGTCTGCAACAATCCCAGAGTGAATTCCGATAGAAAACGTTATGTGGGGATTTTAATGGTATGGTGTGATGAAGGAGCACTGCCTCCTTCACTTCCTGTCCACTTTACTTTTACTGTTCAAGCACAATGAGTACATCTTTAAACTCTGAGGAAACACTTTTCCTGTTTTCTTTTTTCCCACGTGGACACAGAACCGCCGCCGCTGCTGCAGCAGCAGCATGTCTGAACTTGTTACTTTGCAAAGCGGTCAGCTTGTTGTGAGCGGGACAACAATACTGTACATGTCTGGAGGAGTTAGTTTCACACTGCTGATCTTTTGTCTGAGTGGGAAGAGCTTTTTGTCACAGTTGGTTACAGAACAAAGCTTGGGATAATGTAACGTATGCTGTGATTATCAGGGACCAGTGGACAGGAGTTATTCCAGCCTGAAAAAAACAAAAACATGTTTACAGACTGGTCACAGTACTTCCTTATTCCAGCTATGTGAGGACAGCCACTTCAAGAGACTTGTGCCTGTAGCAATTGAAACAAAAGAGACATCTCTGAGCATTTCTGGTGTTGAAGTTCATTTTCAGACAATTAAAACCTTCTTAAGGTTAAAAAATAGATCTGCTGCTTATTCATGACTGAGGGAAAACATCACCAACTTTGAGTGTCCACCACTGACATTTTCATCCTGTCCTTATGTTCAAAACTCATCATCCTCATCATCTTGTCTTTGTCATTAAAAGAAGTCATTGATGAAGCATCTTTGAGTATCTTGAGATGAAAACACATTGATTATCTATGTAGGGAAGAAAAAAAGCAGAAACAGTTTGGTATCAGAAAGCTGCTGCCCTCATGGAGCGAGTGGATTTTACTGTTCAAACACAACAATATCATGTCAATCCAATTTTTTAGATGTTAAATAAACGTCTTGAACTTGTATTAAAGAGAACCTCTAGTGGACACTGGAGGAACTGCAGTTTATTTTTTATTCCTCCCAGAAAAACTCCTTTACACTTTAACAGTGTTTCTCGACTGTTTATCAAGTTTCATTCACTGCATCGCACTCCTGTCTAGCGCCTCCTACAGGCCTGGAGCTCTTTCATAATGATATCTGCTTCTTTGTATTTGCAGCTCATCCTCTCCTGTGTGGAAATCTGCCGGCTTGTTGCTGCACTCTTACACATGTTAAAGGCTTTCTGTAGGAAAAAAAGAGAAGCAGAGGAATAATGTTTACATTAAGCTGAACATCATCAGCTGCATGATCACCATCTGCTCCTCCAACACCTGTGGAGGAGGTTATGGACAGCAGCTTCTCCTCAGGAGAGACGACAGACAGGTTTCATGAGCCGAGGAGGAGAAGAGCAGGGCGTCAAATTAACACATCCAACATAATCCTGTCGGAGATGATGAGAATTTTTGTGTTTAACATTTTAATTAAAGGTTTTCTGTGACTACAGCTCCATCTCAGCATCTGATCAGGAATGGATTAACCTACAGAGATAGATATAAACAGAACGAATGTTTAAGGGAACCTTTTTAGGACTGATAGGGCTTTAGCTGCTCCAACCTCAACTCCTTTATTCTGCACGTTTGTTTCCATAAAGATTTCTGAAGGCTGTGCTGAGCACGAGTGTGTGTCTGTGTGTGGAAAGTAGATGGAGGCTGACAGCCCTGCAACAATGTATGAATCTATATGAGTGTTAATACAGTGAATGACACACAGTGTAAAGCCCTTTGAGTGGTCTAAAGACATGATTGCTGTTATATAAGTGCATTTATATCAAAGGTTCAAGCTCAACGATGGTGATGGCATCTTCACGAATCTAAAGAGGCTCCAAAAAGAAGTACGACAGGCTTTACTGCAAAATTAAAATATATTGTTAAAGAGTAGAATATGGACACAAAGACCGACCATGGTGACCCACAGAAAGCTGTGACGCCTGCACAAAACCATCAGATCAATCTTGAAACCTGCAGACAAACAAAGAACATGACAGCAGCTTATTTTTATGTGGCAAAGTGGTTGAGAATAAACTCTTTATGGTTAAAATATTCAAAACCGATCCATTATTGATCCCTGCTCCACCACAAACACATATCTGCACAATTTTAGTTGACAAAGAGAGCATGTCAGAGAAAAACAAAGATGTGCCATGAAATTTACTATGAAATATATACTGTGATGGTTAGTCTGTTTGAAATTTTCTTTAAAAAAGTAAAATGAAACCAGAAACACCTGTAGTTCACTGGAAACAGTTTTTTTATGAATACAGTGGGTTAAAATACAGATGTTTTGTAAGTGCATGATGTCTTTAGTCACGTTTTTATGTCTGTGTTCAGGTCCGATTTTCAGCCTTAAAGCATCCTGTGATAAATCATCCTTATTTATGTCACGAGTGTTATCTCAAGACACTTAACAGTAAGACCAGACTCTGTTAACAAAGACCCGGTGTAAAGACTGGATTAGACTGAGACCACATCCTGTAAGATCAGACCCACTGTAAACCATTTTAGCCACAGGAGTGAAACACTTTACAGCATTTATCAAGTTACAGTGGAGAGGAAGGACTTTCTTTAACAAGCAGAAACCTCAAGCAGAACCAGACTGGTGTTAGACAGCCATCTGCTGAGACTGAACTGGGTTGAGGGAGGGAGGGAGGGAGGGAGAGAGAGAGAGAGAGAGAGAGAGAGAGAGAGAGAGAGAGAGAGAGAGAGAGAGAGAGAGAGAAGAGAAAAAGAAACCGTCTGGTTAGCCAAAACCTAAAATGGTCACAAAACCGTTCTTGGATATGAAGCCCAGAGTGTCACTATGCCGCCACAAGGTCTACGAGAAACAGCTTTGAGGTTTGGACCACAATCAACAATGAGGTTTAACCACAAAGACTGGGAGGAGGAGAGACAGAGAGGATGATGGGAGAGGTTAGAGAATCAAGGAGGAGTAAGTGAGGAAACAGAGTTCCACAAATGTCTCTTCTCTTTTTTTCTCTTCTGACCTCAGACCAGACCGGGTGCCTTCCTTTTAACACTGGTGTGACTTATTAATGTCTCATCATCAGGTTAATGTGCACTTATTTTTCTCTCAGTGGTGATGAATCATAATCAGGGAGAGAACAAGGAGGGGATGAAATAAATTAAAGTAAAATGAAAAGGATAAATTGAGAGATGATGGATGGATACAGACGGAAAGTCTCAGAAAGCCTCTTAGGTGAATTCATGGACAGACAGATGGATGGGCTCACCAGACCATTCTGCAGAGAGACATCCTGAACTCAAACAGCTGTTTAGCTTCCAGCAAAAGCACCTGACCCTTTGGGACAGAAGGAGACAAAATATGCAATGACCTGATTTGGTTGAGGTGTCCAGCAGAGTCCTGCCATCCTCTTATTTGCATTGCACTTTTTATGAGACCAAGAACCTGCAAGGAGTTTGCAGAAAAGGGACAGTCAGTGTGCACACAGATTTTAGAGACACAGATAAGTCAGTTTGCAGACACTTGGTGGATTACAGTCACAAGCTGCAGAAACATTTTTGATGATGAAGTTAAATCCCACAAGAAACACTTCCTATTTTTACTGTCCAACAAGTGTCTTGACTTTTCTCCTCGTGTCAATGGTTCATTAGGAAGGTTGTTTGCATTTCTACTAGTCATGGTTATTTTTTTTATTTAATCTTCTTTTTATCAGGCAGTCTCATTGAGATCAAGATCTCTTTTAGGCCTGAGAACAATGAACATTCACAATCAACACACAACACAACACAGCAAACAAACAAGAGGTATAAAAAGGAATCAGTTAAAACAGTGATAGCGATTATTGTAAACACCAGACAACAGGTATTTAAAAAATCCAAGATGAATGAAAGACTCCAGTTTTAGAGCGGTTTGCAGCTCATTCCTTTAAAATCAATCAATCATCAATCAAATTTTATTTATATAGCACCAATTCACAACAGTTGTCATCTCAAGACGCTTTTCAAAGAACAAGAGCAGGTCTAGACCACGCTCATTGTTTGATGATCAAGAACCAACCTAAGATGGGTTTTGGCCCATCTCAACTAACATGAGTAGCAGTGGCAAGGAAAAACTTCCTTTTA